GGAGGACATTCGGACAGCCAGCAAGCATGAAGAATTGTTCAAGATCATTAGTCATTGTTGTTGTTAAGTGCCACCATTGTCAGTTGCTAGTCTATCAAAGCAGTATTGAGAGATTTGTCTTCAAGCTCGGGTATATAGCAGCTGGTAGTATTTCTTGCCTGAATGGGTGCGAGTGTAACTTGGCTCTATAACTGCAATTGCTGTCTCTTCTTGGGTAAGGTAAGGAAATTAATAGCCTCTTCCCCCCAGTGTAAAAGAGAGACCAAAAAATAAAACCCAGATTGAATACTAAAGTCTGTAATTTCCATACAAAAACAGACACACACAAAAAAATATCAAAATATCAGTAAGACTATACCGCCCTTTTTTTGATTTCTTGCCTTCAAGGCTGCCTGAGAAATTTCAAGATTTTACTATTGCTCCTTATGATGTAACTCAAGATTTAGTTTTTCACCTATTTTCTTTTTTTGCCTCTCTTACCTCTCCTCAAGCCTGTTTAGATGTTTCTCCTAGTGAGAAAGAGTCCAGGGCTAGCCAAAGTTTTTTTTGAAAGACTCTCCCATTTTAAGTTTTTTCTGTTGACTTCTTCCCCTTCTTGATTCTGGGACCAGTCATCTTTGCTGTGCAGATCTGAGTGTATGGGTAGTAGAACCCTTCAGAGGTGGGGACGGGGTGTCCACCCACTCAGCAACCCCCCTAGTCACCAGAGTGGAGGTGTGCAGACAGAGAAAGTTAAATGAATGAAAAAAAAAAGTTCACACCCTTGTCTCTGCTGATGGGTCAGACCTTTTATATGGGAGTCATCTCTTGATCTTGTATCTGCTCCTTCCAGCTCAAGGTGGCTGCTCCGGGACTCGCTGGCCACTGCAAATCAGAAAACACTACTTTTCTTTCTTCTGTTTCAACTCCCACTTGCAGTAAGCCTTCATTTCCTCTAAATATTCCTTTACATGGAGTTCAAATTTCCAGGACCATTCTTTGAACCGTTTTATCTGATTTTCCTTGTTAATACTGGTAGAGGTCTGCATGACCCTTCTTTCTAATCTACCATCAAGCCCTGCCTTCCTTTTCATTATCTTTTAATTCCAATTTTCCACGAAAATTTTAAAGCTCTTTTGTAGTTGTTATATTTAAATGGAAAACAATAGTTCTCCAGTTCTACTCAGGGTAATTAAAGGAGTTGTTGGTGTGTGCCCTCAAGGCTGTTCCTATTCATAGGGATCCTGTATAATGTTTCTGAGGCTGTAAAGATCCCTCATCTTTAGCCCATGGATCACCGGGTGTGCTTGAACCTTCTACCTTTGTGGTTAGCAGTCCAGTGCCGCATCTGGGAGACCTGCATATTTCCCAATGCAGACTTCAAATCACCTTAGTTGGGGTTCTTATGGCCCATTATATGTCAAATTATATTAAAATTGATTACACTATATTTAAGATTCATCGATTGTGATATGTACAGTTCAAAGAACTTAACAAAATTTTATTTATCCTGTATGTGATAACAGTACCAATACCCTTTTAAAACAACAATAGCAAAATTATAACAACAGCAAAATTTTTTAGAGTATATTAATGAATTGTTTCTTGTTATGACTCACTATATGATATGTTGTTTGTTTGGGAATGAATGAATGATTGTATTACCTGGTACAAAGGTATATATATATATCTATCTAGAATTTTATTACATTATGTCAAATTGTTTTTTAAGTGGAAGCCATTTGAACTGCAAGGTCGGTGGTTCAGGCTCACCAGCTGCTCCTAGAAACCCTATACAGGGTCGCTTTGGGTCGGAACTGACTGGACAGCACTTAACAACAACAATAACCAGTTTAAATTTGGTTTGGCCTTCTCAGTCTGTGACCTTAGCTTTTTAGATTTTGTCCATGGTCTTATAATAACACTTAACTTGACACAAAGTTGAGAAATGCTCAACAGTTTATTGAATAAAAATGAGTATGTCAGAATAGTAATTAAGCAGTTATCATGTTGAGAAACTACTATGTTAACAAGGTGATTTTAGTCCAGTTGTAAGTCAGTAGAGTGATTAAATTCAACTGTAAATCTGGATAGTCTTTTAAAAGTTTGTTCTAACCTAGAGAAAAAAAAAAAAGTATATTCTGGGGTTCTTCTAACTGTATTGTTAAGGGATCGTTGTATTCCCCCAAAAAACTTGTTAATAAAATGACATTATTATTTTATTGAATAAACACGGTTGGAGCGAAAGTTTTCCAAAAGTAACAGTGAATTTCTTTTTTCCTTGGAGAGATTAATGAAATGGCTTATATAACCTTAAATATATAACACCTAAACATCACTGATATTTAATTACATCCAGCATTTGCTCCATAATAAAATAGCCATTAATTTTTACTGTTGCTAGCATTATTTTTAGGCACAACACGTTTACACATTTTAATCCCTTTGTTTTTTTTTTTTTAAATCCACCACTATAGTGAATATAGCTTTTTACCTGTGTAAAAAGAATTGATGCTTTTGAGTTACAGTGTTGGAGGAGAATATTGAAAGTGTCATGGGCTGCCAAAAGAACCAACAGATCTGTTTTGGAAGAAGTGCAGCCAGAGTGCTCCTTGGAGGCCAGGGTGGCCAAACTTTGTCTTTCATACTTCAGACATATTGTCAGGAGGGACCAGTCACTGGAGAAGGATATCATGTTTGGTAGGGTGGAGGGTCAAAGAAAAAGAGGAAGACCCCGACGAGATGGATTGGCAAAGTGGCAGCATCTATGGGCTCAAGCGTGGCAACAGTAGTGAGGTTGGCTCAGGATTGGGCAGTTTTCTTTCTGTTGTGCATAAGTCAGTACTAACTTGATGGCACCTAACAACAACATAGTTATCATATTATGTAAATTATGCTTCTAATTAAGTCATTCAGTTACTTGCTGCTTCTGGAAAATTGTGTTGTAGAGAAAAGTCTCCATTTTAAATGATTCTGTTTTAAAAAGATGAAGAAAAGGAACCAATCCATCCATGCATTGTTTTGTAGACCAGTGTAAAACTTCTCTAGAGGAGGAAAAGTAATATGCTTACTTTGATTTTCAAGGTTTCTTAATATGATGATAAATAGCACTTAAATGATGGTAGTTGTGGTGTTAAGTGCTGTTGAGTCAGTCTTAACTCATAAAAACCCTGTATTCCTTGTGTGGTGCTATAGGATTAGCGCTGTACTGGGAACCATAAGGTCAGCGGTTCAAACCTACCAACTGCTCCTTGTAAACCCTATACAGGTTCACTATGAGTTGGAACTGATGATGGCACTTAGTAACATCAGGAGCCTTGGTGGTGCAGTGGTTAAACGCTTGGGTGCCAACCAAAATGTTATCGGTTTGAACCCACCATCTGTTTCCTAGGAAAAATACATGGCAATCTGCTTTTGTAAGATTTTCAGTCTTGGAAACCCTTTTGGGAAGTTCTACTCTGTCCTGTAATGCTGCTATGAATTGGAATCAACTTGACAGCAGTAGACTTTGTTTTTGAAAAATAATTATAAGAAAATTAAAAATTCATAATGAAGAATACAACTAAGGCTTACATTGTGATATATACATGTGAGTTTCTCTGCAGTGTTTTCTAGAGTTTTTTGACTAGACCCAAAGAATTAACATAACACAACTAAATTTATATACTTATAGTTTATGTTACTAAAATAAAGTTTGTATAGTTACCATCCAGCTCAGGAAATTATAAACAATGTTCACAAAGCCCACTGTATGCCTCTCCCTGATCACATTTTCTTGCCTTGTACCACTGTTTGTTTCATTTTTATTACATGTGTGATGTTGTTAAGTGCCATGGAGTTGGTTCTAACTCACAGTAACCCTGTATAGGCTTTCTGATGCTCAGCTGGTGGGTTTGAACCTCTTGGCATTGAGATCAGCAGTCCAGTGCTTATCCTACAGTGCCACACCAAGATTACATTACATGTGTATAAATACCTTTAATTAATCTACTTCTGTGGTGCTAGATAGAGGCTAAGTACTGGAGTGCTGGTCACAAGGCCAGCAGTTCAAACCCACAGTTGCTCCTTGGAAACCCCACACAGGGATGCCATGAGTTGAACCTGACTTTATGGCACCTAACAACAAGAAAGATGAGGCATTCTGCTCCCGTAAAGATTTACAGCCTTGGAAACCCTGTACAGGGTCGCTATGGGTCGGAACCAACTCGACGGCACTAAACAACAACAACAACAACAACAACAACAAGAAGTATTATTTTACATGCTTTTCAACTTGTAGTTTCATACTATATATATTTATTTACCAGTAGTGTTTTATTTTTTAAACCTCAGTGTTATCTTTGAAATGTATCCATAATGACATGAAGCTTCTTTACATAATCTTTGTTGTGGTCCATCCTTGCCAACACTAATATTAAATGGTTTGAAAATACTTTTCCATCATGTTGTATATAAAATGCAATTGCAGTTTTAAAGGGCATTTTCTGTTCTTACCACTTGTATCTGTTTTCATTTTTACTGGCTGTGTATTACTTCTGTGGATTACCCGTTCATGTCTTTTGTCCATTTGACCAAATTGAGTTATCTTTTTGTGATTAATGTCTACCTTTTCATTTTTATTTGTTTTTATTTTTATTTTTTGGTTATTTTAAAAACAATATCTTAAACATTTAATGAAGAATTAAATTTAATACATTAAATTTTTACTGTGGGATATTACTAATTCTTGTTCAAATAGGCTGAGTGGAAATTGTTTACAGAAACTTATGAATTTTAGACCGTTTTGGGGGAAATTGCCCCGAGAGGTACAATTATTAAAATTCTAGAAGGTTGATTTAATCCTCTCAGTGGATCCAAGGCAGACATCTTGTTAGCATGTAACTGTTAGTACCATTTGAAACCATGTCATTCCTATAAATTTACATTGTAATTCTGTAACCCCAAAATGTGTCTAATATGCTGCCTTGATACCTATTTTAGTTTTTAATATCTACTTTCTTTTGTTTATTCTTATTTATTAGGTCCCCGATGGGCTTCCTGGAATATTGGTGTATTTATTTGCATCAGATGTGCTGGCATCCATAGAAATCTTGGGGTTCATATATCCAGAGTCAAGTCAGTAAACCTAGACCAATGGACTCCGGAACAGATACAGGTAAATCTTTTATTTCTATAAATAATTTAAAACATTTAAAGTGAATTTAAAAATCTATTTACCTTTCTTGCAACTGAGAGTTAATGGTGAAAAATTGTGTAATGAAATAACTTGTACCACATACAAAATTTAAACATTTGAGTTATCAATTGAGAGGTTTATTTCTTCTTGGGTAATATTTAGCCAGTTTTAGATCTATTTTTTTAAATCTAAAATGTTGATCTTAAAATATTTAAAGAATAAATTCCTTTATTCTTGTATAAATGAAATTTTCTAACATAATTCCATAGTTTACTTTGTTTTCTTGTCAGTAGAGGGAGCCTGGGTAAGGATAAAGAAAATAAAAAAAGTATCTCTAATTTAAGAACTGATTTAAAGATTTCCCTTTAATACAGAGATGTTCTTGATTTTCAGAGAGGGCTTACGTGTTAGAAGAAAGCCTAGTGAGCAAATGTTCTCATGATGGATTTGGATTTGTTTAGATTGGTATTTCTTTATTAGGGACAAATTTGAGATTTTCTAGTGTGACAGTGTTAAATTCTCAAAATCGTACTTTATAATCCTCAAAGTTGGCCTCTAGTATAAAAGGATTATTTTCGGGGTTCTTATTTTATAATACACAGTGAAATTACACAACTTTTTCTAGTGACCTTTTGGAATTGCTTTTCATTATGTAAGCCAAATACATAAATTAATGTGTTTGGATTTCAGTGATATACTTGTATACTAAGAACAAAAAAAACAAGATTTATCAGGTGAGGTGAGAATAGAAAAAATGGAATAGAATACATGATTTGCAGTTTATAAAGTCTAACATAATTAATTTTATACAGTTTCAAATTAATATTTTGAGCTTATGGAATTTAGGATAAACAGTGGACTGCTAACCCCAAGGTTTTCATTTGAAACCCACCAGCTATTCTGCAAGAGATAAAGATATATAGCCTCAGAAACCCTATACAGGGTCCTCTCTATGATAAGAATTGACTGTGGCAGTGAGTTTGGTTTAGGTTAAAAGCATAAAAGGAAATATTACCCTGTATGCATGTACCAACCGCTCCGCGGGAGAAAGATGAGGCTTTCTACTCCCGTAAAGATTTACACCCTCGGAAACTCTACAGGGTCGCTATGGGTCGGAACCGACTCGACGACACTTAACAACAACAAAAATGCATGATTTCAGAACCTACTCTACAGCACTAACAACAACAACAACATGAATTTTCAGGATTCTTAAGAGAAAACCATACTGGTTTATAATGAGGAATCAGAGCTTTTTGAAATACTTCACGTAACATTTTTATAGTAAATGTGGTAACAGATTTCATGGTGTTTAAGTCTTCCTCAAGAAAATGTAAGGATTGTAATCTGAAGCTGTAACTTGGTGTTTGTAGTTGATAGGGATGTAGAAAACATTTTAGGCTTTAAGTAGATTAACGGCTCATTTCAAACTAAATCCAGACACGGCATCCCTGAATAATTTAGGGTAGGTCTCCAGAAATATTGTTCTCAGATAGGCTGTTGAGGGAAGTTGAATAGAAAATCTTTGAGTTGGGTGTCCTACCGTGGCACTGAAATGCAGGTAATATCTTTTTATCAATTAGAGCAGAACTTCATAGTCTTGAGGGCTTTCGATTCACTGGTTTGGCATAAAACATGGCAGGTGCAATGCAAGATCCTGAATTTTGTGTTATACAGCACAGCCTTTATTTTAGCCTTGAACATTTCAAAGTAGTTGATTCTAGAGAGGCATAGAATGAAGTGATTAAGAGCTGGAGTTAAATTTATGTGATCTTGATTGGATACTTAAGCTCAGAGTGCCTCCATTTCTTCACTTGTAAAACAAGAGTAATAATAGCACCTTCCTATTTGGTTTGCTTTTTTGATTGGGAGAAATAAGTTAATATGGATAAAGCATTTAGAACAATACCTGACACATTTTAAATAATAAATGTTAACTTATTAGTTACTTAGCAGTATTAGTGCATTTGTTCGTTATATAAAACCCTCTGTAACTACTGTATCTTTTTTATTTCAAGAAAATTACATTTCTAGACCTAATCTATTGTGATAAGCTAGTTAATAAATGCACTATTGAGTAAATGGAGTGATTCATTTTATAGTAGTACTTAATATAAATAAAATTATACTTTTTGAGAATATGCATTTGTTAAACGTTTATTTAAGTTGATTAATATTGGATGTTAAAGCATTTTGAGATGAATAGTTAGGTAGGTGTTTCAGTTAGTTGTCTATTAAGATCACTCATTCAATGAAAAAGGAAAAAAAAATTTTTTTTAAAGCATATCTTATTTACTGTGGTGTGTTTTTTAGAAATGACAATATCTTGTTATTTATCTTTTTATTAAAAAAAAAAATTATAAAGGACAATTCACAGATCTGAATGAGTTCTTTGTGTCAGAACTAACTCCATGACCCTTAACAACACTTAACAAACATTGTGTAATTAACATCCCAGTGATGATACAGAGCTTTCCCATCAGCTTAGAAAGTTTCCTTGTGCCAATTTCCAGGCAATTCCTCTGATGGCATTCATTGCACTGATTTCTATGCCTTTAGATTAATCTTGGCAAATACGACATTTCTATCTTTTGGAATCCATTTCTGCTGATTGTTATGATCTGTTATGACTGTTATGATCAGAAACCCTATACAGGATCTCTATGAGTCAGAACCCACAACTCGAAGGCACTTATTAACAACAACTGTCTTTTGGAATCCATTTCTGCTGATTGACTCTTAATTCATATTAGGAATGTAATGTTCTCAATAGTATTCCATAATCAAAATGTATTTTAGTGTTATAAATATATTTTCATAAGAGTTAATTTGCTTTAAGAAATGCCTGGGAGGTATTTATTTATAAAATAGAAATGCTTTTACTGTAATGCCTTTTACTTTATATCTTCTCTCATGACCACTCTTAACATTACTTGATAACTATATTTCCAGTAGTCCGGTCTGATACTTAGTTTTGGTTTGTCTAAATCTTTTTTAATGGAGTCCTGGTGTGGTGCTGTGGGTTAATGCTCTGTGTACTGCAAAGTTGGTTTGAACTAGAGGATCGGCAGTTCAAGCTCACCAGCCCCTCCTCAGAAACTCTATTCAGGTCGCTATGGGTCAGAAGTGATTCAAAGGCACTTGACAACAGCAACAATCTTTTTAATATTTTTATTAGTAAATCACATTTCTACATAGTATGTTGTTGTTAAGTGCAGTTGAGTCTATTCCGACCCGTAGCGACCCTGTATAGGGTTTCTAAGGAGCAGCTGGTGTGCTTGAACCACTGACTTTGCAGTTCAAAGGACTTTGCAGTCTGGGTTCATTAGCCCACAGTGCCACCCCAGGACTCCATCAATAGTATAAAGTTTTAAATATAGTTATTTATCAATTAATACTAAGGAGCTCTAGTAGCGAAGTGGTTACAAATCGGGCTGCTAATCTCACGGTCAGCAGTTAGAAACTATCACCTGTTCTGTGGGAGAAAGATGAGCCTTTCTGCTCCCGTAAAGATTTACAGCCTTGGAAACGCTGTACAGGGTCGCTGTGAGTGAGAACTGACTCCACAGCACATAACAACAATAACAACATCAATCAATATTATATATGTTGTTGCTAAGTGCTGTGAAGTCAGGTTAGTCTTACAGCGAACCCTGTTTAGGCTTAAAATCTTTCATGGGAGCAGAAAGCCTTTTCTTTCTTACAAGAAGCATCTGGTGGGCTTGAACTGTCAACCTTGTGGTTTACAGTCCAGTGATTTGTCTATTTTGAATTTTATTTGATTCACAATATTTTTTGACTTTAAAAAATAACCTCAATCAAAAAAAATTAGTGTGGTTAATGGTCAAACTAATAACATTTTTGGTAATAACAACATTTGTGTTTTGTCATACACTTCTCAGATGTTTGAAAAGGACCACATTTTAAAAGCTTTTAAAAAGACTATATTTTATTTTATACTGATTAGTTAACCCAAAGTAATGTTTTTCCCCCTTAGTTTTCTAGGACTGCCATAACAAAATACTCCAAAGTGGTATCTTGAAAAAATTTATATTTGAAATTGTTTGCACTTTGAAGGCATAAAACTTATCTTTAGTGAAATTGCTTTAAACACTTTGCAGGCATTTTCACCCCTTTTGTTTACATCTTTAAGGAGCCTGTGTGGCTCACTTATTAAACTCTCGGCTGCTAACTGAAGGTCAGAGCTTGAGTCCACCAGCAGTTCTGGCGGTGAAAGATGTGATAGTGTGCTTCTGTAAAGATTACATCCTTGGTAAACTCCATGGGGTAGTTCTACCCTGACCTATAGGATTGCTATGAGTTGGAATCAACTCAACAGCATTGAATTTGGTCGCTCAAATATGAGGGTGAGTCAAAAATTATCCGTACTCCGGTTATATTAAAACATCTATCCATGGCTGATGACAACACTGAGTGTGCACATGAGCTGATTCTGTCGAATAGACGGGTGACAGTGGATTATGTGGCAAATCATTTGCAAATCAGCCATGGCTCTGCTATGAAATAATTCATGACAGGCTTGGGTTTTGAAAGGTTTGTGAGAGATGGATACTGAAACAACTCACAGAAGAACCAAAGCAGAAGCATTTGGACATCTGCAAACAAAATTTGAACTGATACTGCAAACAAAAGCTAGTAAATGTTTCTTTTAAAAAAAAATCGGTACTGGTGACGACATGGATTTATCACTATGATCCTGAGAGTAAACAGCAGAGTATGCAATGGAAACATCCTCAGTCACCAACCAAGAAAAAGTTCAAAAGTCAACTATCACCTGGAAAATTAATGCTTACAGTTTTCTGGCATTCTCAAGGGCCAGTATTGGAACACTATCAGGAAAAAGTTTCAACAGTTAACATTTTTGTTACAGTGAGATGCTCACTGAAGAGCTGAAGCCTAAACTTTGTATTAAATGCAGAGGACGGCTGTCCAGAGACATTGTGATCTTGCATGACAAT